GGCTGGGTTTCCCCAGCCGGCCCGTTGCCAGCGGCTGTGCAGGGCTTCCTCTGCCTCCCTTCAAAGTGGCCAAAGGTTCACTGCTCACCGTGCCGTTCCCTGGTGACTGCCCCTCGCCGGAAGTAGTGTGGGACCCAGTAGACCCATCACAGGAGCATACTCCCAACCCCAACCCCCTCCCCTCTCGTCCCCTTCCCTTCCCCAGAGCCAAGCACCCCCCCTCCCTGCTGTAACCCAGTCCCCTTTCTCCCCCCACCTTATGTCCCTGTCCCAACAGACACCACCGCTTGAAATACAACTCCCACCTTTTCCATAATTTTCAATGGGAAAATTGACCCCGCATAACACGTTTTCACTTAACACGATCATTTTCTGAAACATCTATAGTGTTAAATGAGGAATTACTGTATAGCTCACTGCACAAGGAACATGGTAACATAGGCCGGCCTCTCACACCTCTGGCACAAAACAGGTGAGATTTTCTGTACCATCATCTTCCACTCCATTGCATGGCCATTATTCAGTGAAGGACACAAAATACAGCTAGGGTACTATGGTGATTAGTGCTACTTTCATTGACACACAGCTAGATAGAAAATTAACATTTGTGTGCGTTATTCGAAGATAGCAATGGCTGTGTGCTTGCTTTCTCTGGTATTTGTTTGTGCATCCGAGAAAGTAATCAGAGATTACTTAAGGTTATTTTGTTCATCACCTGAATTTAGGATGAACTGAGAGAAAATTGGAGAAAATAGCAATCTGATCACAGCTGCAGATATTGTAGGTATTGCAAAACAGGTTGAGTTCATCACATGCAATGATTTCCTGTGAAATCTTGAGGCAGCACTAATGGACATTATCATACGCATAGAGCGAGTCAAACTTCATCGAACTTCATAACTTGTTACTCAGTTCTGAAATTTGGGTGTAAGTTCCGGTGGGTTCTAATATCTCACAGATTGGTTTGCCCATCCCTGGCAGTAAAGGAAACAATTGTTTCATAACTTGAGCAGGTTTGTGGTAGAGCCAGCAAGGAGTTTACGTTCAGCTGGGTAGACACCCATCCTCCTATTCACAGACCTTCTTTGCATCTGCAAAACTGATTAGCACGTGGACTGGATATCTGAACACATCCACCCTCTGATTGGCACCCAAAATTCAGCTGCAGGTGTACAAGGGGGAATGTGAAATGGAAAAAAAGGAGCAAGTTTTGTGGCACAGGAAATAAGCCTTTTGGAATGTACCCCCTAAATTACTAAGGCTATATCTACACAGCAGCATTATTTCAGAATAGCTGATGTTATTCCGAAATAACAAAGTCCGCGTCTGTACTGCAAACAGTTATTTTGACATAATGTTGAAATAATGGTGAGCTGGAAGACTTCTTACTCCGACTTCTCTAACCTTCATTGTAGCAGGAATAAGGGAAGTCGGAGGAAGAGTTCTCTTTCTCGGACTTCCTGCTATGTAGACAGTGTCAAAAGCTGAAATAAGCTATTTTGATTTCAGTTACACAACTGACACAGCTCAAGTTGTATAGCTTATTTCGACTTTAGCTCTGCTGGGTAGACATGCTCTAACAGTCCTCATGTAGCCATGGTTGTAAAGCAGCCCTCACTCCCCTGCTTGGTGCTGTAGGGGTACATCTACACAGTAGCACATGGCTCGAAATAAGCTACGCAATTTGAGCTACGGAAATTGCGTAGCTTATTTTGAAATAGCCTATTTCGAAATTTGGCGCTGTCTAAACAGCACTAATTTTGTGCAACGAGGTTTACGGGACGACAGAATAACAAGCCCTTTTGAAAAAAAAAGGCTTGCTGTTAAGATGCACAGAACTTCGGGAGAATGAACGTTATCCTGAAATAGTGCCACTGTCTAGATGTACCCTAGCTGAGGAGGAGAGCTGGGGGAGCTCGTCTGATACAGCTGGCTGTGAGCAAGGGAGCAGGGCGAGGGGAGGAAGCAGTAGGTAGAGCATTGGTTAGGGATGAACCCAAGTGGGTGGTGAAGGGGTAAGCAGTGGGAGAACACGGGCCTGCAATGTTCCCTCTAAACTTTTCCATCCCTGTGTGAATTTTTCCATTCATGTGTGGAATAATTTTTTATATCACCTAAACATGTGTGAATGTGCACCACCAGTAGAAACAAAAAAAAAACCAAACCTTGGTGTGGGTGGTCTGCTAATCAGCTGGATGGCACCGGCATCTCTCATGAGCAGCCGCACAAGTGCACAGCTTACAGAAACACTGCTGGCCTGGCCTGAGTAGCTGATTGATGCTGGCGAGGAGCAGGTGGCACCACAGGACGGAGGAGGAACTTGCTTTGCCTTAGAGCATGGGTAGTGTCTCTTTGACTCACTCTCTGGTCACTAGCATTCCAATGTGCCACCCGTTAGTCAGGGTGTCTGCGGAACCACATGCTGTCCCAGAGTGAGTGACTACAGGACCCCACAGCGTCGTTTTTCCAGAGACACTTCCCTCCCTGGGAAGCCACTTTAAAGTAGGTTACGGCTCTCTGTCAGTTTTCATGTATAATGTAAAGCTGCTTTTCTCCCCCTTCAATCCGGAGCCCTATTTAATGACTTCTGACATGTTCAGCTGGAAGAGACAGGAACCGCGCACTTGGCTCAGTTCTGACACTTGCCGTTGTCAAATCCTAACAACTTTTAAGCTGACAACTTCCAACAGGTAGAACCTGGAGGTAGAACTGACAGGCATCCTAGGTGTGTTAGATCATTTATAAGCCAAAGCTCTTGCATGATTTCTGTTGTTAAAAGGGTCTTTTTTCCTCATCTCTAAGGGCCTGATTCATTAAAACTGTATACTCCATATGCATACTCCCCTCTGTAATTTTACCAGAAAAAGTGCTGAATAGGATAAAAGTCTGCACTGACGCAATCCTTTCAACAAGTCGACTTGCAGAGCCATACTCATGGCATCCATTTACAAGAGGCAGGCTGGGTAAACGCAGACAGGCACAAAGGCTACTAGCCTGTTATAGCTAGTGGCTTTGGGGGTTACACCTTTCATAGAGTCATAGAATCCTAGGGTTGGAAGAGACCTCATGAGGTCATTGAGTGCCGCCCCCTGCTAAAACATGACCAACCCTAACTAAATCATCCCAGCCAGGGCTTTGTTAAGCCGGGATTAAAAACCTCTAGGGATGGAGATTCCACCACCTCTCCTTTATCTTAAGGGGACTGTGGTATTGAACACCCCATGTTCAAACCCATTGGATAACCCCTGAGGGGATTCATTGCAAAAGTAGTATCTGAAAGGGCTCAAACATTAATAGGCCTCAGATATGCAGCGCACAATTATTCTAACAGCAGGGCTGTGTAACGTATGTTGGCATAAATCCCTTCAGCATCCTTTCTGCAAGGAGACACCAACTCACCACTATTGCTGCCAATAGTGAGGTTTACAGGAGCGGTCGACAAAGGCTTCCCTTGTTGACCAATCCGCGTCTTGACTCACGCTCTGTGCCGACGATCAGCTGAGCCGGCACAGCGCGGCGTCCATTTTTATTTTAATGAAGCTGGGGATATTTAAATCCCGTCTTCAGTGACTATGTTGGGTAGTCTAATTTACATGCCTTTGGCGACAGAGGCATGTAGTCTAAACATACCCTCCGAGTCACGTGGGATGAAACACTCTCCTTTTAATCAGGCCTAACTAGGGGTATGTCTACACTGCCACCCTAGTTCGAACTAGGGTGGCTAATGTAGTCATTCGAACTTGCAAATGAAGCCTGGGATTAAAATATCCCGGGCTTTATTTGCATGTTCACGGGCGCCGCCATTTTTAAATGCCTGGTAGTTCGAACTCCATGCCCGCGGCTACACGTGGCACGGGCTAGGTAGTTCGAATTAAAGCTCCTAATTTGAACTACCCTTACTCCTCATTGAAGGAGGAGTAAGGGTAGTTCAAATTAGGAGCTTTAATTTGAACTACCTAGCCCGTGCCGCGTGTAGCCACGGGGAGGTAGTTCGAACTACTGGGCATTTAAAAATGGCGGCGCCCGTGAACATACAAATAAAGCCCGGGATATTTTAATCCCGGGCTTCATTTGCAAGTTCGAATGACTACATTAGCCACCCTAGTTTGAACTAGGGTGGCAGTGTAGACGTACCCTAGGAGGGGATGGACACTGAGCTCAGATTTCAGCCTGAAGGGATCATTATGGCACACTTCCATTTCAGGGAAAGCATTGGAAAGTTTTTGATGCAGAAGAAAACCAGATTTCATCCTCAAATATTGCTGCAAAATGGAATTACATTCCTCCAGTCAGCCCTAAGCGAAAGGTCTGTGTGGAGTTGTAATAGGTCCTGAATCCAGGACACTGCAGATGACACAAGGTAGTCATCGCATAGACATAATGAGGAGTAGCAGAGGCAAATAACTCTGGGAACATTTTGCATCACAGGTTTTACTGCCGCATTTGGTTATAGAGCTGTGGTTAACAGAGCCCAGGACAGAGGGCTAGGCATGGCACTTTATGCATAGTTAGCCAATTTGTGCATGCAAATATAATCTTGCCAATTTATACAGGCATTGCAAATTTTGCAGACAAGATTAGGGTTTGTCTAGCAGGTTAATGGGTTTTCAAGCATACCTTACCTCTTGTGTAGACAAAATTTAATACTGGGAAGGTGTGTTAGTTGTGTTAAACTGTTCAATACTAGGTGCAAAATTCCTGTTTAAATAAGGTCAGGAAACCTGTTTTCAAGCACAATCTATTTCTCTAGACTAGTAGAGTCTTAAATAGAGGCTTGTGATGGTTCTGCCAGCAATGTTTATTGATGCTTTTGGGTTTTTTTTTGTTGTTGCTGTTACACAGATTATTTCACTCTGCACCATATTTGTGTTAAGACTAAGCTCTGCAGATTCATGATGCTACTCACAATAAAGCTGAATTGTTCTGATGTCGGGTGTGGGTGTCAGCCTCCCAACAGAGACTGAATGGATCCCTTGTAAATGATTATCCTTTCCTTTTAGACAAATATGTAAAGAATTCCAGGACCTATTGAGTCAAGACAGATCGCCCCTCGGATCCTCAAGACCAACTCCAATATTAGACCTCGATATCCAGAGACATTTAACACACTTCAGGTATGACCTTTGAAGTCGTTTTGTGGTGCAACTTCCCAAAGAAAGATAAAGACTAAGGTTAACTGAATAGGAAGGATCTTGGAGTGATCTTGGGAAGCTTTTTAAACTGAATTTCTTCTACAGGAACTGGCAGATCTTTTGTTTCTGCTTGGAAGGACAACATTCTAAGGAGGGATTTTCATAAGGACTCTGCATACAAATACACTGGCACCTGTTCTCTTATCTCCCCACAGTTTGGGCTACAAGGGCGGTGCTGGGTGCCCATCTGCATATTTAGGCACCTTGGAAAATTGGGCCCCAAGTAACTTGGCTAAGATCTATGGTAGAGCAGGGGCCAGAACCTGACGCTCCCAATTACTAGTCCAATCTCTTCATCCCCTCTTCACATATAAACTACCAAGAACTTCAGTTTAGGTCAGCCAGGCAGCCCTGAAGTATTTTTGCACAGGACTGGGATAGTAGCAGAACAAGCTTTATCTCATCCTGTAGTTAGATCTCAGCCCTGACCGAGTGGTTCAGCGGTTCCTGGACTCGGCTGCGATGACCACCAAAGCTGCTGGTTACAGCCAGTGGTGACTGTTTCTGTGGAGTGGATATTTAACCACTACATAACTTGATGGAAACCAGAAGTAAAAGTAGATTGGTGGGCCCTATTGAGCCCAGAGGTGGAAGTAAGCGGGTGTGCCATGGTGCGTAGCTCCAGCAAGAGCTGGCTAAGCAGTGGCAAAAACCAGCAGGAGCTATTTAAAGAGCTGGCACCAACCTAGGTTGCACTAGGACAGTACCTGTAAGAAATGTTTAAGTGACTTTCACTGCCGGTTGTGCTGCTCTGAAAAGCAGGAGCCAGCCACCTGGGGCACTCTGCTTCAGGAGGAGACATGGAGCATTCCCTCCCTGACCCCCTCCTCACACACCCTAACCCTCTTCCTTGAGCCCCTCCTCCTCACACCCAAACCCTCTTCCCTGAGCCCCTCCTCACACCCAAACCCTCTTCCCTGACCCCTCCTCACACACCCAAACACTCTTCCCTGAGCCCCTCCTCACACCCAAACCCTCGTCCCTGACCCCTCCTCACACCCAAACCCTCTTCCCTGACCCCTCCTCACACACCCAAACCCTCTTCCTGAGCCCCTCCTCACACACTCCCACCTTGACTCCTGAGCCCCCCGGACCTCCCTGCCTTGAGCCCCCACAACCCAAAATCCTGCCCTGATTCCTGCACCCCACACCCCACCTCCTGCCCTGAGCTCCCTCCACACCCACTTCCTCCACAACCTGCTATTATGATCTCCATGCTCCACATTACATTTAGATTTCCTACAAGTACAGTCGTATCACAACCGCCCCCCCCCCCTTGCTCTGAATACCCCACAGGGGTGTGATACAACAGTACCTGTATGAAAATTAAGTTACTGGACACTATCAATTTATTTTATGTAAGGAACTGGACAGTCATAGTTGCTAAGAGCTACATGTAAACTGCTCCCACATGTAGCCATGCCAACAGATTATATTAGTGCTCCAAAACCCAAGAAATGCTGCATGCTCTCTAGCACCATCTACTGTCAGCTTTTCAATTACAGGCAGTCCCCGGGTTACATACAAGATAGGGACTATAGGTTTGTTCTTAAGTTGAATTTGTATGTAAATCGGAACTGGCTCCAGATTCAGCCGGTGCTGCTGAAACTGACCAGGGGCTGACTACAGGAAGCTGGAGGCAGAATTGCTCTGCCCCCAGCTTCCTGGAATCAGCCACTGATCAGTTTCAACAGCGGCTGAATCTCGAGTCTGGGACAGAACAGCTGGGGTGGCAGGTAGGTCCCTGCAGGACCAACCCGGCAGCACCC